TATTAAGGTGTCGATTTCCCCCATCGATCCACAAATCTGAAGAGGCTGAATTACTTGAGCTCAAATGAAATCCAAGTTTATTTGGGGTCGACTTCTACGGCACCGCTGGCTGCAGACGGCACCTTTCTCCTCACGTACTCTGCCTTTTTTTTCTGATGCAAGATACAGACGGGCAAGATAAAAACACAACCACATTGGCCCACAGCAAAATCCAACTCCCCCCACCCCCAAAACCATGTAATGCCTTTTATTAAGATCAACCAAAATAACACAACATGGTGTGGAAGTTTTCAAGTTCTCCAGGATTCTTCATCAGGCTGGATGTTAATGAAAAGGGTGGAGGGAGAACCTCTCAGGCCATGATCTTAAGGCCTGCCTAGACTGCTCTCCTGACTTCCATGGGCACAGAGCACGGCTGATACCGGGTTGCGCCCTTCGCATACTAGAAACAAGAAGCAACAACTGGAAGTGAAAATGCAACAATCAAATGCCTCGATCTAATGCCAGGGTGTCAAACATAAGGCCCGGGGGCCGGAACCAGCCCATCCAGGGTTCTCATCCGGCCCACAAGCTACCTGTGTGATGGAGGGAACAGGAGGCTGTGTGGGTGGGTGTGAGCAGGCAGAGACATTCTGATTGTGGCTTCAGCAGGGCGGAACAACCTCATCTGCAGCAGTCAAGAAGAACCCCTTCACTCTGACCTGGATGCCCCAGGCAAGCCTGATCTTGTCAGATCTCAGAAGCTAAGCAGGGTCGACTCTGGCAAGTACTTGGATGGGAGACCTCCAAAGGAATGCCAGCAGTCGGGAGGCAGGGGCAGGCTTCACTCAGCCACCTCTCTGAATATCCTCCAGGCCCCCTCGATAGGGGTCAGTCACCAGAGGTCGCCATGACTTCCAGGTGCACACACACACACTCACACACACACATTAAACCCTCCCCCCCAAAGAGGAATCCCTTCACTTCAGTGACAGCCTCACCGGTTGGTTGAGAGCTGCCACAACCACATTCATGCCGGCTCAGGGTTCCAAGGCGAGGTCACATGCCTCTCCACTCAGCTTGCAGCTCCAGGGATGCTGTCACGGATGGCCATGGGGATCAGCATTTACTGTGCTTTGGCCCATGGGTGTGTGTGTGTGTTCTCCAGCAGTTTCTTCCACACATTGGGGGCCTAGTCCTGCCACTGAGCCTGCAACTTGGTAGCCAGGCCTTCCTCCCCCGGCAGCCTTCAGACGTAGGTGGCTGCCACCTCATTAGGGGGGGCAGTGCCAACTATCTCCATCTATACTGGTTCCTGGGTGGCCTGGAGCCTCTGCCACATGCATGGCCTGGTGCGTGTGGTGCTCACTCCCCCATCAGATGATCCAGTGGCCTTTGGCGGAGGTGGCTACTGCTGCACAGGCATCTCCAGCTTATTGGGCTTTGCTTGGCCTGGGTCCCACAGGCGGGGAGGTTAGTTCAACATCTTCCCAGTCCCCGTCCATGGTGGCTCAGGCGGAGGGGGAGCTCACAACATCCAGCTGCTTCATATTTTTACCCTGGGGCCCAGGTTCACAGCACTGGTGGCAGGAGCGGGTTGGGGAATGGGTTTGCCCCCCCCTCCAGGCAGTGTAGGGGTGTCTCTCTAGTGTTGCACCACTGGCTTTCCAGTCGGTGCATGTGGGTTTTCCTCTGCACCCCCCCACCCCAGCCCATGGGGCCTTGCAGTGACGACACACCTACTTGGAGCTTGACAGCTGTGGCCTTAATAAAGTTTGTATCTCCAGTACCTGGTATTACGTTTATGGCACACATGGCCCAGCCCAACGAAGTGACATTTATGTCCATTCTAGCCCTCATGACAAATGAGTTTGACACCTCTGTCTTTCAGATGCAAATGGAACACACACAGGTCCCTTTAAAAGGCAAAAAGCAAAGGAAAAATACTCCTTATACTAACAAGGCTGAAGATTCTAATTGATGCACTAACAATACTATCCTAAACAGTGGCAACCAAGTAAAGGCCAAATTAGATGTGATTTTTTTTTTAAAGAGAAGGCTGGATCTTTGGCTCGAAATTAGCTTCTGCCTCTCCCCCCATGGTGGCTTCCTGAACAGAAATGGCGGCGGGGGGGGGGGTATTTCCCCATTTTTGCAGCTGCATGCATAGTAGAAAAAATGGGGGGAATTACTCCCTCCCCGGGTGATTTCAACTCAGGGAACTGATGTGAGGAAGAGGAGGCAGAAGCCCCCACTCACACCACAGTTCCAAGCTGAACTGGGCTCCCACTGATATTTAAAATATTTCCTGCAAACTGCTGCAAGGCTGCAGGGAAATGAGCCTGACTCTTTAAAAACCATCACATTTGGTTTGGCCCTAAATCTACTAAAGTCAATGGCCTTAGCCAGGTGCGACTCTGTTTAGGATGGCCCTGTAAGGAAAGTGTAAATGGGAAGCCAAATGTTATTACCATTATTTGGGTATGCTTCCCAGGTTCCTTTCCCTCCTGTTGAAGTGTCCCTTACAAGGTTTCACATGTGCAAGTACCTAATCAGCTTCCTATCGTAAAATCAGACATTCCTTTTTCCCTTAATGCAGGGGGCGCATGGCATTTTAGAGCCCCACTGGGGAGGGAAGTGGGGCATAAACATCTAAATGACAAATACACTATTTTTCTTTATTACTTGTAAAGTCAGGCTGCGGATGTGGCCTGCATTTTTGTAGTCATTCTAATATTTCCAATTTGTGATAGGAATCTATCAGTTTTGACGACAAAGTTTTCCAGCATACTCTTGTCTTATTTTCTTAAGTCATGCCTCCAATTTATTTTTCCTGCAAATTACAGTGTGGTATTATCACCTGCTATTATTTGCTGGCCCAAATGGGTAAAGAGAGTGTTTTAAAAATTAAAACAACTTCTGGCGCTGGGAAAAATACACAAGTTGTCATTATGCTCTATTGTTCTTTAGGCGGAACGAGGTTCTCTTTCAGCAGACAGACACAAAAGACAACTGAACTCATCCATGACAAGCAGCTTTGCAGACTAGGAAGTGCGCAGATACCACACAAAAGGCCAGTGGGGCGTACAGATTAGGAATACTACACAGGGCCCAAAGTTGAGGGTGGCTGGTAAGGACATGTGGGAAGATAAACCTGTTTCAGAACCTAGGCGCTGCTAACAGGCACGAACAGGCATGCAACCCGAAATTGGTTTCATTTTTAAAGAAAGTTCCCTTACATATCTGGGGCCGCAGCAGAGAACAAAATCATTGGCCTAACCTGGCTGGTCCAGGCTAGCCTGATCTGGTCAGTTCTCTGAAGCTAAGCAGGGTCAACCCTGGTTAGCACTTGGATGGGAGACCACCAAGGAAGTTTGGGGTTGCTATGCAGAGGCCCTGTTAATACGAGCCCATTTGGGCCGGGAGCGGGACGGAACGGGGGCGGAGCAAACCGGCGCGATCCCACCTCAACATCTGGGGAGCGTGCCGGATCCGTCCCGGATCCGTCCCTACTGCGCATGTGTGAGCATGCGCAGTTCGCCAGGCTCCCCTTCCCACCGTCGCGTTCTCCCCGGCATCTGATCGTGCCGGGGAGCGTTGCGACGCGGCTCGGGGGATCTGTGAGATCCCGCCGCGCCGTCCCAACTTTGCTGCGGCTCACATTAGCTGCAGTACAAGCGTCTTATTCCCTGCCGTGTGGCAGGGACCAGAGGCAGGCAATGGCAAACCACTTCTGAATGCCTCTTGCCTTGAAAACCCTACAGCAGTGATGGCGAACCTTTTAGAGACCGAGTGCCCAAACGGCAACCCAGAACCCACTTATTTATCGTAAAGTGCCAACACGGCAATTTAACCTGAATACTGAGGTTTTACTTTAGAAAAAACAACCCATACAGAATTTAAGATGATCCAAACAAAGTAAGGAAAGCAATCCCAAATGCTTTCATTTACTTACAATTATTTGGCAGAGAATCGGTCTGGGCCTGTTTGGGGCGATGGCACGCGTGCCCACAGAGAGGGCTCTGAGTGCCGCCTCTGGCACGCGAGCCATAGGTTCGCCACCACTGCCCTACAGGATTGCCATAAATTGGCTGCAACTTGAAGGCACTTCTTCTACCACCACGAGGAATATCACACTGTAAACCATGTATAGCTGATGGAATAACGTAAGAAGGGAGTGATACAGATGTAATACAGGCAGAGTTTACCTGGGGGGGGGGGAACGTCAACAAGCAAGCACGGCAAAGATTGATCCAGCAACCCGCATGATGCAAATGAATGGAACAAGCAGAACTATCTATGCAGAAGGGGAGTCGGCTGAGATCTGACAAGGAAGCCCGTGGTTCCTCCAGAAATGCATTTGTATTAAGCCCCGGAACAGTTATGGCATACTCAAGAACCCCGCAGACTTTTCGGAGCTGAAAAGTAAATCTCCTTAGCAAGTTCTCTTTTACTCTCTGATTAAGATGGATGGGTTGAAGCTTTTACATATGCAGTAGTTCGTTTTCGTTTTCATATATGCTGACAGGTTCATAATAGCTCCTTTCTCTTCTCTGGGAGGGCTAGGAGGAGGAAGATGCTGTAAAGTACATCATCACACATGCCTCAGCTGCCAAAGGTGACAGTAAATAGGAAACCCACGGCAGACAGGAACTGGCTGAGCATCCTCATCCACCCCCTCCCATTCTTCTGCATAAGGTTACATCTCTCCATGCTGCAGACAATCAACACAACAGAGGGGGGGGGGCGAGTTGGGGGGTTAATGGCTGTGCTGAAGGAAAGCTAGACAGCAGTGCCCTCGTGTGGAGAGAACCTGATACTGCCACCCATAATGACCAAATGGGGAGAGGGAAACCCATGCATCCAATCTTATGCAATAAGGAAATCACATCAAGCGAGGACAGGTTGTGGTTCAGAAAGTAAAGCATTCCCCTGCATCAACACAAATACATGAACTCCAGCCTGATTGGTGGGAGTATAAAAACCAAACACGACAACCATTTGATAGTAGTTGTTTTATTGGGCACAGCAGGTCACAGACACCCATATGACCCAATCAGTCCTGTTAGCAGCAGAATCCAGGGGAGCAGGGCAGAATCCCATCCAAGAGAGAGAGAACCAAAGCCAGAAGCTTGGACAAGGCCCTTGGCACAAAAGCCCTTTGTTGCCATTTTGCCAAGGCAATCTCCCCTGCTGGTCCATGAAGCGAGGGGCCAAGGGCCAGTTCAAAAGGAAAGACATCATGCTCGTTCAAGCCTGGACTTTGGAACAGCCTAGGCAATGGGTTTTGTCTGCTCCCCCTCTCCCTGGCAAAGAGACTCATCAGAAAAGGTACCACACAAGGACTGCCTATTCCTCACACAAGGAAATGGATGCTCCAATTAGTCACACATACATACAAACATGCACGTAGTCTCTCTTTCTCGTTCAAATACACAAATGAGCATTACCATCTGCTCAGAGCCTTTTTTCCCATCTCTCTCTCTTTTTTATAGTGTCACATTTTAGGGTTTTTGCCCAACGTGGCTTTCACGCACATTTCTGCGCTCTCTCTCTCGGTAGGGAAGTGTGGACGGCCCCATGCTCGGCTCCATCTGGGCACATTCCACCCCAACTTAAGGGGGAGGAATAACCCAGCAGGTGCAGCTGAGGGTTGCTATGGTAAATGAGGTACAGCAGCATCTTGTCCTGGAGAACCCTTTCTGGCTTGATCCCGGATCCCAAGACGGGGAAAGCAGAGACTAGCACTGTGATCCCGGGATAAGACAGGAGCATTCACTCTCCATTTGCACAAGGGAGCCCATTAATCTCACATCCCCCGGACGGTGAGTAGGCCTGAGCCACGTCAGGTGAGGGGGAGCCCAGAGATTTCAAGTAGAGACTGGGGAAGGGAGGGCAGGAGCACTGGGGCTGCTCCAGGCAAGATAAACAGTTCCGCCAGGTTCCTGAGGGAAAGCCACATGGGCCGTGCCTCCTCAACAGGGGGTTTCAGTGGCAGCCTACAGAATCCAGAGCAGCCTCTGTCTCAGTTGGGCTCCACGTGCCTCTGGTCTTCCAGGTCCCACTGGCTCCCTGGCTCTAGTCCACACCAGGGGTGGAGGGATCCCTGAACAGAATGGCCTGTATAAATACTATTCACATTGCCATCCATGACTCACATGGCACGCGTGCCACAACTAAGGGCACCAGGCAGCCATGACCCAAAACATACATAGCTACACCCACCCACCCCAGCCGCTTGATGGCAAAGCATCCTTCAGTGGTGGTTGCTGGGATTGTGGCTCCAGTCCTGCAGAGGGCGCTGTGAGTCTGTGGAAGACGGCACAGGCTCTGTTCTGGCGTCACCAGTTGGCTTTCACGGCATTGATGTCGCTCACTAGGTTCTGAGCTAAGCAGATACCAAAGATCTGAAAAAGAAAATTGAGGATGAGGCGTGTGGAAGGAGGCATGTTTATGCTTTCTGCTTCTCTGTCTCTCACACACACACTTGCTGAAGTCAAGGTTGGACTAGGACCTGGGAGACCCAGGTTCAAATCCCCACTCCTGCCATGGAAGCCCCTGGGTGACCCTGGGCCCGCCACTCTCGCTCAGCCTAACCCAAATTCACCAGGATATTGGTTTCTTATCTACCTCCCCGTGTGACTGTTGTGAGGATAAAATGCAGAAGAGGGGAACCACGTAACCTGCTTTGGGTCTCCATTGGGAAGAGAGACAGGATAGAAATGAATAAACAGTTGATGAGGCTCTCTACTTGTGATTATTTCCCCACAGATGGAGTGAAGGTAGGGGCTAAGGTTAAATCCTGACCAACTTCCCCATTTCAGTAAAGCAGCAGTTCTAACTGAACCCTAGTGGCAAAATGGAGGAGTCAAAAGGGAAGAATCCACAGCCTCTGCCCTCGTGGCCTTTTTTGTTGTTCAGTCGCACAGTCGAGTCCGACTCTTCGCGACCCCATGGACCAGATCACGCCAGGCCCTCCTGTCTTCCGCTGTCTTCTGAAGTTTGCTCAATTTCATGTTTGTTGCATCGATGACACTATCCAACCATCTCATCCTTTGCCGTCCCCGTCTTCTTTGACCTTCAATCTTTCCCAGGATCAGGGTCTTCTCATTTGGTGGCCAAAGTATTTGAGCGTCAGTTTCATTATCTGGCCTTCCAGGGAACAGTCAGGGTTGATTTCTTTTAGGATTGACTGATTTGATCTTCTTGCAGTCCAAGGGACTCTCAAGAGTCTTCTCCAGCACCATAGTTCAAAAGAATCTATTCTTCGGCGCTCGGCCTTCCTTATAGTCCAACTCTCGCAGCCATACATGACTACTGGGAATACCACTGCTTCGACCATGCGGACTTTTGTTGGCAGGGTGATGTCTCTACTTTTTATTATGCTGTTTAGGTTTCCCATCGCTTTCCTCCCAAGGAGCAGGCGTCTTTTAATTTCATGGCTGCAGTCACCGTCTGCGGTGATCTTGGATCTCAGGAACGTGAAGTCTGTCACTGCTTTCACGACTTCCTCTTCTGTTTGCCAAGGAGTGATGGGGCCGGATGCCATGATCTTAGGTTTTTTTTTATGTTGAATTTCAAGCCAACCTTTGCACTCTCCTCTTTGACCCTCAGCAAGAGGCTCTTGAGGTCCTCTTCACTTTCTGCCATTACAGTGGTATAGTCTGCATATCTGAGGCTGTTGATCTTTTCCCCAGCAATCTTAATTCCCGCTTCTGAATCATCCAGGCCGGCATTTCGCATGATGTACTCTGCATACAAATTAAATAAGGAAGGGGACAATATACATCTTTGTCTCATGGCCTAAGCAGCCACAACTGTGAGGCTCCAGGGCTGGTACAAGATATTTTGGGTCCGGAGGCAGAAAATCAGCATAGCCCATTTCCCTTTTCATTCCGTACAAGGAAAGACAATCTGCTGGGAAGGCCTGCTGCACAAGCTGCACCGCTCTTGCAGAGGTAACAATAATTTTGCACAAAACAGCTCCCCTAATGGCAGCCCAAATCTCCTCCAGCCTTGTGGCAGAGATACCTTCCGGGTGGCTGGGCTTCACAGTCATTTCCTTCCCACCGAAAGGTGGTTTTTACAATCATTTCATGTTACGGTTAAGTGGAAGACACGTTTGATAGTCAGCTCCTTTCCTGACGTGTGACTGGCAGGCTTCAAAGGATCCAGCGTGTAAATTGCATGAGGGAGAGGAGCCCAATACCACAGATGGATCTGTGCCCAAAAACACCCTATTACTACTATTGTTAATGTTTAATTACCGCGTGGGTAGTGTACGATACAGAAAAATTGCAGCCTATGTTCAAAAGGCTCAAATAAAACAGGGACCGGGGGACATGGCCTTTCGATGTCAGAACAAGACAATTATAAAATGATAGTGGAAGGAGAAATCAAGAACACATTAAACAAACCACTGGTGATCTGTGACTGGATCTCCCATATTTGACAAGTTCTCTCATCATCAGTCATAGAGGGGGGGGGCATGGCATTAGCTCCTCCCTCAGACTAGGGGAAGCCTGTTTCCCCCTCTGGGGTAGCTGGCACAACCGGAGAACTGATTTACGGCAAGAAAAGGGCAGAGTGGAGTGGGTTTGAATCAGTGAAGAAGAAGAAGAAGAGATTGGATTTATACCCCGCCCTTCACTTGGAGTCTCAGAGCGGCTTACAAACTCCTTTCCCTTCCCCTCCCCACAACAGACACCCTGTGAGGTGTGTGGGGCTGAGAGAACTCTTGACAGAAACTGCTCTTTTTCAAGGACAGCTGTGCCAGAGCTTGTGAGTGACCCAAGGTCACATCAGCAGGTGCACGTGGAGGAGTGGGGAATCAAACCCGGTTCTCCCAGATTAGAGTCCGCACACTTAACCACTGCACCAAACTGGCTCCCTGTGGCTGTGTATTTAGACATTTTTAAAGAAATAGGAGATCTGATCATGGATCTCCAAACTCCAACCCCCAACCCAGTGTACCGGGAACCATATTTTGTGGCTGAATACGTCCCCCATTAGTGAGTGCCCAGAAGATAGAGAAACCACCTCCCTCCAACATAGTTCAACTTCTGCCTCTTGGAGGTGCTCAGCTAGGTAAGGAGAAAAGCATGGAAAAGAAACCAAATGCCCCATTGCCTGTTTCTGAGGTGCCATTCCTGATGTGCCCTCACGCCAGAATAACAGAGTAAGGAGTCATGCCAGGGCCAGAATGCCCCAGCAGCCACCGCAACAATAATCCACTTTTGACTTATCCCAGGAGGACAAATGTTCCAGAAAAGCTTCACTGTGAGATTAGCCAGTAAAGCTCACCTTGGGAATAATTTGGGTGTGAAAGACAGACAGAGTACCAGGTTTATCTAAGCAGTCTTTGTCTTGCTGTTGAATCCTGGGGTGCGGGGAGGGGGGGGGAACCAGATGTCCTGTAAGCACTCTTACTATGAAAACTGTCATTCTGCAAAAAACTTAATTGCTTTAAATTGGAAATTGTTTAAGGTACTAAACTGTCACAATGGAGATCTAAACTGTGGGACTTGATAGTTTCAGATAAAATCGCTATGCAATTAATAGCTTTTGACAATCCGAAAGGTGTTAATAATTTTTTGGAAAAATGGTTTGTGTTTTTTGAATATCTTACTGCTTGTCAACCCCGATTGTATACACTACCTCAGAAATATAGAGACTTTGTGTTTTATTAACAAGTATTGTACGCATGGATAACATTTCTCTTCTTGTTTATTAAATGTTGTTGAAAGATACTGTATACAACTAACAAGTAATACAGGATGTAAAAATATATAAAACTCAATAAAAATGCTATTTTTTAAAAAAACTGTCATTCCACACCCCACAAAAACTTTCTAGCACAGGCATCTGTTGGAAATGCATGTGTTTACAATGTCTGACAATTCAGTCATTATAGGGTTAACTTGTTTGCCTAGTATTGCTATTGTTTAGACTGACCTGGAAGGGATACCTGGCAGTAAGACAATGGGGAATTAGCCCGGAAAAGTAGCTTCTATTGTGATACGGATTGGTTTTTTGTTTCAGGTGCTTTCCTTTCTAGGGGTCGAGAAGAAGGACAGATTCTCCATTATCTGTGTTAGTGTTGACTATAGACAGCTTAGAAAATGTAGCTGTTAGTGTTATGTTTATTTGTAGTTATCCCGTGTACCTTTTACCCTTAGAAATAAAGGTTTTTAAAAGCAAAGAAATCTCTTCTTTCCAATAGAGCAAGATCCATTGATAGTCTGAGTATTAAACAGTTTTGACTATTTTACAACAGCATCAACAACCTTAACATAGAGGGGGGAAATACCTGGAGCAGGGCAATGCCCACAAAGGTCCCAGCCACCACAATGAGGTTGTCCTGGAGCCACTTCTCAAACTGGACAGCGCATCCCTTGGTATGGATGAAGGTCTGCTGCTCCAGCTCCTGCAAAGGGGGGAGTGCAAGTGGGTGAGCAGCCCTGAAAACACCTAGAAGGGCTTTCTTCCACAGCTAGGAGAGCATACTTAGGAAATAAAACACGACTAAGCAAGACAGTCCCTCTGCATCCAGTGGCCCAAATGCCATCGGTTTCACAGCAACTCGTCTCAAAACTGAACACCCATCCAGACCCACAACCAGTGTTCCCTCTAAGCTGAATTAGTGTGAACTAGCTCACAGTTTTTTAGCCTCTGGCTCACACATTTTTGTCTCAGCTCAGGGAGGATGGCTACGAGCAAACTCATTGATGCAGTAGCCAAATTGCTTGCTCACAACTTTAATGCCAGGAGCTCACAAAGTAGAATTTCTGCTCACAAGACTCCGTAGCTTGGAGGGAACATTGCCCACAACCCCCAATTCAAACCCTGGTGGAGGTGACTTGGTTCTTAACTTGTTACTTGACCCGTAACCCACTTAAGGACACTAATGGTGCAATCCTAAATAGTGTTACACTCTTCTAAACCTACTGCCTTCAATGGATTTAAAAGGGTGTAACTCTGTGTAGGATTGCACTGCCACTTGTTCTGTCTCCAGTCCAGCCTTGTCTCATGGCCACAGCCCACCCAGCATATCCCCTGCCTCCTCCCACCATGGCCTCTGGCTCTCACCAATTTAAGGCGGACATCATAGCCACACTGGGTGTTGAGAACGTCCTCCTGGGGAAAGAGCAGACACAAAGCTGATCAAACCATCTTGCGCGACTCAACGGCCACTTTCCTAGAAGGGATTCATTGTTCCCTTCTCCAGTATTTTATTTGGCAACCCATATCCTCTCACACTGCTCAGCAAACCCCTCTAGCCCTTCACCCACAGCAGTTCCAGGACACATATAGCTGTGTCAGTCCATTTAATGCAGACATTCTGGGCCAGATTGGATCATAACCTGATATGGCCTACTGCGTACTCTAAACACGGATCGATTCTGTCCAGCAATTATTTTGGCATGTCTAATTTCAAGCGTGTCCTCCAAAGAAGCAGATGCTATCTGGATCTAGTGAAAATGTGAAGCTCCACCCCATCCTGAGATTGGTGGTTTCTGGGATTAGATGTGGGGCTTATTACTCATGGGGTTAGATGTGGGGCTTATTACTCATTCAAAAGGAACCTCACCGCAGGATCTTTGACACAGCAGGAAAAGGGTACTCCACATCGCTCCCGGCTGGGATTGGAGTCTGTGCAGTTGAAGTAGATATTGAAGTTCCAATCATTCGGCCCATGAGCACCACAGCAAGACCACTGCAGAGGGAAACATTTTTAGACTGGGATGAGCATCCAGCCAAAAGTCATGTCTTCCAGCAGCACTAACACACAAACTAATGGACAGGACCCTTGTAGGAAAACGTACTACATGGGGCCAGTGTTCCCTCTAAGCTGAGTTGGTGTGAGGCAGCTCACAGTTTTTCAGCCTCTGGCTCATACATTTTCGTTTTAGCTCAGGACGGACAGCTCCAGAGCAAACTAATTTATGCCAGTCGCTCACAAAGTAGAATTTCTGCTCACAAGGTCCGACAGCTTAGAGGGAACACTGCATGGGGCAAGGCGTTTTGACCTTTTACGAGTCACATGAAGCCAATACACACTGTTCCCATGATGTTTAACAAGCCCTGAAGTTTCATTATCAGGCACCAGATGGCGGGGTTGCCTCCAATTTGAGCCTCTCTCATACCACAGGAAGTCACCAGAGGGAGCCACTACAAAACGTGGGATTACCTCAGTCTACAAACATGGGATTACTGGAGTGACAGCCAAGTGAAGGGTGCTACCACCGGTGTCATTTGCACACTGGAGCTGAAACTCTGTCCCACAGCTTAGAGCAGCGTGCCTCCATTGAACCTATTCCGTAGCAGGGCTGCTTTAAGACATTAGTGATACTGGGGAAGACAAGCATTCAAAAAAACCCTCTTTTCCCAAACCTGACTGATTTTGGAATTCGAAGGATGCAGGATGAGAAAGGATCTTCATGGACATTTTTGCAATCATCCACTCACAGAAGGCAAGTTAACACTTACAAGGCCAGGATTATGATGACAAATCACTCCACCAACACATTTTGCAGCACACAAAATGGTGGGTTCCTGCTCCAAGGATCTTACAATCGAAACACAGGGAGCAGAACGAGGTGATAAACAGGAGAAAAATATAAAGGAAATCCATGAAGTTTCACTAGTAGAGGGATAGGAACTGCGGCCTATACTACTGTACGGTATTGTGGCCTGTGCTACTGTACCGCTGCCTACCACTGGCAGTATGCTCTGCCTATGTAATGGCATGTTTAAAGGCTTGTGCTTTGTTTTAGCTCTTCTTTAGATTTCTGCCTGCTTTCAGATTCCTGCAGTCCAAATCCTATTGCACTGTTCATTGGATGTCCCATCCTGTTGACTGTGTGTGACTTATGCTACGTAATCCACCCTGAGTTTCAGTGAGAAAGGTGGACAATAAATATCATAAATAAATTCATGTCAAGCATGCATGCTTAAGTTTACTTTCACTAGGGAAGGGGTTGTCCCAAAAGCCTTCATGGAAACTACGGGTTTGGGAGAGAGGTGGGATCATGCAGGGTTTCTGGGAGGAGGAGGTGTCCGAAGGAGTCGTTTGAGGGAGCAGGAGACCTTTGGACCATTGAGGGTGGTGAAGCTGGAGAAGCGCAGAATGCTGGCAGGAACGCCTCAGGATGCATCGAGGAATCATTCTCAAGCCGCCCTGTGGCATGCTGGGGCTTTCTGAACAGGGTGAAAGGCACGGAGCTCAGGGGAATCTGCACAACTCACATATTCCTGAGCAAAGTCAATGAGGTTCTGCAGGTCAATGTCATCACGGTAGGCCTTGACGTTGTTGTTGATGAAGAAGTTTAGCTGGTCCTTGATCCAATCCTTGAAGATGAAGGCCAAGACGCCAGCTGTCAGCTCCAGGAAAAATATAAGCCCCAGGAACACTGAGAACTGAGAGGAAAGCAGATATAGGGAGAGACCCTGGGTGTCCAAGCAGTCTAGGTGTATCAGTGAGAACCACTGTTTCATCCTGCTGCAGGATAAGAAGTCACCTTTACACTGACTGGGCATCCACAGCTCATGGGGAAAGTGCATGGTTGACAAAGCTGTGGCATCTCAAAGCCACAGCAATATCAAATGTACGACTCGAACAATGAGCACTCATCTTGCCCACTTCTTCTATGAAGAGGCATTTCCTCCACTGCAGTGGAAGGAATTCAAGTTATTACTGTGCCTGCTCCAAGTCTGTTAGGAAAGGTATAGAACAAACAAACAAACTCCAATAGCACCAGGAACAGAATATGTACAGTCTGGTCACAATCCTATTCTGCCCTTCATTCTATATCCCACTCCCCTCGCATCGAAGAATATTAATGCCCTTTGTACTTCTTCCATTCTAAGCACTAAATCCCGATGGCCCTAATCTTTCCCGTGCTGCCAAAGGAAAACCCGCAACCCTCCGTGTGCCAGGGTGGCTTTCCTTTAGACCACTGCCTTAGCTCCCCCAGCCTGATGCCATTCCTGTCTAAGCCAGCAGTACTACAAGCGAGGGAGTGAGGCTGGGAAAGAGAGCCGCTTGTTTAAATCCACAACAAGCTCTTGACCACACTGAGATTCAAACCAGAGACGTCCACCTCCTGTCCACCCTCCAGGAAGAAAGAGACTTACAAACTTGAGGAGGAACGTATTCTCCCTCAGGGCCCCGATGCAGCCTGCGAAGCCCAGCACGAACATCACCCCTCCAACCACGAGAAACAGCCAGACGGGGTCAAAGCCGCCCAAGTCTGTGATGGACGACAGATTGGAAAGCACGCCCTGCAGACAGAAGGGAGCGGAGGGTGAGGAAGAGGTGACTGAACTCTGTTCGGCAGCCAAAGACACTTGCAGCCACAGTCAAGCCTCACCCAAAGGAACAGACACCACTGGCCTGACCCAGGCTTGGCTGCTCTGAGGCTTCATATGTCACGTCTCTACCCTTTGGCTGCGGCTTCCATTCTCAGCTTTCTACTGTTACCTGGTTTTGTTTCTGCTGCTTCATACATGAGTGTGGCTTTATAGCTTTCGCCTGCTGCACTGGAATTTGATTATTATGCCCTTAGGTGCCTGCTGCTTTTAGTTATGGCTTTATGGATTGATTTTGATGTTACATTGTTTTACAGGGTTTGGTGTTTTATTTGTTTTTTTCATTTCCTTCACTGTCAGCTGGATCACAAATCTGCCAGACCAAAAAAACCCAACAACAACCCAACCCTCTTCTGATGTTATGTGACCATGCGGGCACACAGCTATCAGATTGCAGCAGCTCTCAGATGGGAAACGGCTGGCAGCAACAGCTGGAATTAGGAGAGGAGAGGTGACCCCACCCTGGCAGGGGGTGGGAGGCTTTGCAGGATGCAGCTAATATGGAAATCTCTGCACTTTCTGTATCCCAAACTGAGAATGAAGAAAGGGAGAGCAGGGATACGTTTCTAAGAGAATGCAGCACCACGGATACATACTGAACAAGTTATATTAGCAGTAAGCTGCCAGTCCTCCGACTCTTGCTGCTTACTGAGCTAGGAGCCTGTGACGCCTCTTCTCCACTCACACAGAGTGCCTGGCACCCTCTACAACCTCTCCTTCAGGTTATGGGGTTACATGTAGGTCAGGATGTCACCCTTCTTGTGGCTTGTCTCTTTTAAAATCTACAGAGAGTCATGACTATCTCACGCCTCAGGTCCTCTCACTCGCAGAGACATCCACAGGGAGGGTAGCCTAGCCCCCTTTTTATAATCAGCCCTCACTCACACAGAGCTACTAGGGGTGGGGCTCAAATACTGTTCCAATCACTCACTGCCACCTTTCATTCATGTACTATAATATAAATATAGACTGAGGTATTAAATTGTGTGTGAGGTTCTTTCCTTTAGACACGCAGCCCACAGGGTTAATCAAAGAAGAAAGCTTTTATTTATGATATAAACAAAACAGGAGGAAAGTAAAGTATAAGAAACAATGTTTCACTTCCTTTGAACTCCTGAACTGAGGTCCCATTTCTACAACTTGAGATCCTTTGGTTACAGTTTGACTATTTTCAGCCTGCTTTAAGCAGCTCTTCTGCACAGTTACACTAATTCAGAACTCCCCTTCTCACCTCAGCGCTTAAGCTGTCTACTTCTCTACCAACCCTCTATCTGTCATTTGGTTTTTCAAGTCTCCCCCTCTCAACATTCCATCAGCTCTCACTGGCTGCTCTTAGGGACAGGCTGATCCCAGCCTTTCCGCCACAGAGCCGAAATAGGGTTAGAACTTGTAGTGGTGACTACCTTAGGTGGTTTTAAAAGATTAGGGCAAATTCATAGACGATGAGTCTAACAACAGCATACAGGGGAAGGCTTCATAGCCTGCTTGTGAGCTCCCAGAGACATCTTGCTGGCCGCTCTTGTAAACAGAGTACTTGATGACAAGATGGATCCTGGTCATGCAACTCTTTTCTTTTCTTTTTAAGTACTGGTACTAAACTCTGGCAACTCTTAGATCTTCAAGGGACCTGGGACTTCCCAAAGACTATCAGAGATGCTAGGTAACCCCAATGCTCTGTTGCTTCCCTCACCCCACGGAATGCAGAACGCCCCCACCAAAACTTTTCCCAGCAAGACCTCCCCCCAAACACTGTACATAACTTTCTTCTATTAGGTATTATGGCCCAGAACTTGTGAGTGAGTCACAGGGCTTGGATTTCTCTTTGTTCTCAGGGCAACATTCATTCCGCAGTATGTGCTGTGATATCCAATGTAAATGCCACTTAGATTGATATCCAGGGGTCAGGAGAGAAGGACAAAAAGAAAACCAGGCTGTCTGCATACATGTCTAATGGCCAGAGGGAGGGAAGGGCATGATTGCCTTCCAGCTGAACCAAACACAACAAGAGTGATGTAATCAGGAAGAGATGTTGTGAATGGATAAAAGGGCCCAAGGGTCCAAAGAGAAGCAGACATCACTGAATGGCAACACTTTCGTATAGGTCTGGTTCACACACAACCTGATTTCACAAGAGCTGATGGCCTGCAGCTGACCCAACTGAAAAGCACAGTACTGGAGGTGATGCAAAGTCATGCGGAAGTTCTGCCTATGGCTGCAGATCTCTGATGGATGGCTCATTTGCACCTGCAAGTCTTCTCTGGGTGACGCGGGTTATCGATCTGTATGCATGCTCACTGTGCCACTGATAAAGAATACAGGCTTGGAAAGAAGTGTATGCTGGCACCCCAGTCCAAAAGACATTTCACTTGGAAACTGGCTCCGCTGATTACAATAGAACTTACTTCCACTTAGGTGGGTTTCAGACTATTAAAAGGTAAAGGTAAAGGTTTCCCTTGCTCGAAAGCCAGTCGAATCCGACTCTAGGGTTGCGGTGCTCACCTCCATTTCAAAGCCGAAGAGCCAGCGCTGTCCGAAGACATTTCCGTGGTCATGTGGCCGGCATGACTAAACACCAAGGCGCACGGAACCCTGTTACCTTCCCACTGAAGTGGTACCTATTTATCTACTTGCAATTTCTTGCTTTTGAACTGCTAGGTTGGCAGGAGCTGGAACTAGAGATGGGAGCTCACTCCGTCATGCAGCACACTGGGGTCTCGAACGGCTGAACTACCGACCTTCCACAGCCTGCAGTTCAGCGTCTTAACCACTTGAGTCACCGCAGCTCCTTTCAGACTATTACTTGTCTGCATTTTTATGTCCTCTTCCATTTTCTTATATGTCTCAAATCCTTCCATCCCAATCTGATTTTAAGAGCTGGTGCTTCTAAGGAATGTTGATCTGGGATGAAACAGTTGGGCAGTACAGGATCAGCAGTCTACTTTTTATGCCCCCCCCCCAACATATTCAAAGGTTGCTTGGAGAACCGGTCATAATGCAGGGTGTTGTTGGGTTCAAGTGTCTAATAACCAAGCAAGCAGCATTTTCTCATGCCATTTTTTGGGTGAGCACCAAGTGACAAAGCAAAATGACTTTTGAGTGCCACATTACTGGTACCAACCAGAACATTCCCCTTAAGATGCTCGAGGCACTGGCAACACTCACCTTTTCTGCCCATGCCCACAGACCGATGGCCAGGAAGGCAGCCCCCAGCAACTGCAAAAGAGCGAAGACCACAGTCAGGCAGGGTGTAACAAGCGGAAGCCACAAAGGGCATGATGCCCTGCTCATGCTCTAAAGGCATCTTCTGTACAATAAATCCACCAGCATTTCCCTCTCTCACAACCAAAGACTTCTGCCAGGCACTGCACATACAGATGAGATATACGACCATCAGTCCTAGTAACATCCTTCATCCTGGTACCTTCCTCACAGACTCAGAAAGGATCTAAAGATATCCTTGTGTTTATCAGCATCAGTGAGGTTGAAACCATGGGGACAGAACTAACAAGAAACTAGTATTCCCTCCCCACCCCCCAGCCACCCAAGGCAGTGTAACAATGGGCATCTCCAAAACGCCAGCCTCTCAAGCACCGTTTCCACCCACCATCTATGTCCATGCAGGTCCTCACCTGGCACTCCAGCTAACTGGAACCTAAAGATATCTCCCTGGTCTCATGGCATGATCAGGGGAGGAGCTTCAGTACATGTCTGACCAACTCTTACCTAAAAACGCTATGTGGGACAATCCAAAATGAAAAAAGGCATAGTGCTAGAAGACAGATGGCACTCCATCAACTACTGGGAAAGAGCTGAGGACAACTATGAGTAGTGCTATTCTTAATGGCGCAACTGGACTAAAACAGAAAGGACATTCAGTTTTTTATGTGAATGGATGCAAAAGGAGTCCAAAGCTGTTTGACACATACAATAGGAATATGGAACATGAGAAGTATGAATCAAGATAAGCTCGAAATTGTAAAATGAGAAGGGAACGTTTAAACATTACAATCCTGGGAGTGAGCAAACTAAAGTGGGCTAGATTAGGGCATTTTCAGTCAGAACATTACAAAATCGTTTTGCTCTGGAAATAACAAACACAGAAGAAACAGAGTTGTTCTACTAGTGAGGCATGATGTAGCAAAAGCAGTTAGGGTCTATAATGCAAAATCTGAATGAACAGTATCAATCAGACTTCATGGAAAGCCTATCAACAAAACCATCATTCAAATTTACACCCAAACTACAGATGCTGATGAGGAAGAAATTGAAAGGTTTTATGCAAGTGTCCAGGAAGAAATTGATCACACACCTAAACAAGATGTGCTGATAATAACAGGAGACTGGAATGCAGAAGTAGGAAACAAAGCAGAATCAAATATTGTTGGAAGATTGTAGGAGCACAAAATGAAGCAGGAGAGTGACTCACAGAATTCTGTGAAGACGATAATTTGTTCATTGCTAACGCATATTTCAGGCAACCAAACACACAACTGTATATGTGGACATCACTAGATGGCCAATACAGAAATAGAACAGGTTACATAATCAGAAGCAGAGGATGGAGAAGCTCTCTTCTCTCTGCTAAAACTAGACCAGGAGCTGATTGTGGTACAGACCATGAACTGCCAATATCAAAAATTAGAGTAAAACTGAGGGAAAACACCAAAACGTTCATAGTGCCAAAATACAAACTAAGCAACATTCCTGAAGAGTTTACAGATCATGTAAAGAACAGATCTGCATTACTAAGTTCAAGGAAGAATACACAAAAGACTGTTTCTGTAGGCAAAAGAAATAAAAAGCCTTGACAGATGACTGATGAAACTCTTAAAATTGTTAAAGACAGCCGAGAAACAAAAGTAAAAGGTGACAGAAATACAATCAGAAGTTTAAATGCAGTGACAGGCACATAGAGACAAAGAGAACTATTCTAATAACCAGTGTAAAGAAATAGATGAGACAACAAAAAAGGAAGAACAAAAGATATGTTCCATGAAATCCAAGAAATCAATGGGAAATTTAAAGCGCAGTTGCGCATACTGAAAGATCAACAGGGAAATACAGTAACTGAACAGGAAAAAATAAAGAAAAGATGGGAACAATACACTCAAGAGATGAAAAGAAGAGATAAAAAGATGACAAGTTTCCTTCCAAGAAAAATCTTTTGAAGAAGAACCTATAGTTTTAGCAAGTGAAGTGAAAGTTGCGCTGAGAGCAATTGGGAGAAACAAATCACCAGGAGCAGAGGGGATATCAACAGAGCTATTCCAAGCCACAGAAACAGAGTCCATCAAAATCTTAACAGAAATATGCCAACAAATATGGAAAACAAGCAATGGGCCATACACTGGAACTGCTCAATCTACATTCCAATTCCCAAAAAAAGGAGACGTCAAAGACTTCAGCAACTATTGGACCATTGCTTTAACTTCTCATGTAAGTAAACATATGCTCAAAATCTTGCAACAAAGACTGTTGCAAGATATGTGGAATGAGAAATGCCAGATGTTCAAGCTGGATTCAGAAAAGGAAGAGGCACTACAGGTCATATTTCAAATTTGTGTTGGTTACTGGAGCATACAAGAGAATTCCAGAAGAAAATCAGCTTGTGTTTCAAAGACTACAGCAAAGCTTTTGCGTGTGTGGATCATGAAAAGTTATTGCTAGTTTTAAAAGAAATGGGTGTGCCACAACACCTGATTGCTTTGATGCACAACCAGTACTCCAAATAAGAGACTACTCTTAAGACAGAATATGGAGAAATAGAATGATTTCCAATTGGTGTTATACGAGGATGTATTTTATCCCCCTATCTCTTCAATCTATATGCAAAATGTATCATAAGGAAAGCTGCACTAGATTTAGATGATGGCAAAGTGAAAATTAGTGGAAGGAACATTAACAATTTGAGATATGTAGACATAACTGGCAGAAAATAGTGAAGACCTGAAACAACTCCTGATGAAGTTAAAGCAAAAGTACCAAAGCAGGATTACGGTTGAATGTCAAGAAAACTAAAGTAACGACCACTGGGAAATAACACACGTTTGACAATGAAGAAATTCAAATTGTTCAAGATCTTCTGTTCCTTGGCTCTATCATCAGCCAAAAGGGGAGACTGCAACCAAGAAATCAGGAGGAGATTGAGACAGGGAAGGGCAGCCATGAAAGAGCTAGAAAAGATTCTTAAATGTAAGGATGTGTGGCTGGCAACCAAGATCAAGATGATTCATACCATAATACTCCCCATTACTATGTATGGGTGTGGAAGTTAGACAAAGAAGAAAGCTGACAGGGAGAAAGTCGATTAATTGAAATGTGGTGCTGGAGGAGAGTTTTATGGATATCATGGGCCCCGGTCACACTGGGGGAAATAGGTGCAGCCGAAGTGCGGCTTTTTTGAGCCGCACCAAAAGAGAAGCGCGGCGGCGGGATCAGACAGATCCCCCCCAGCCGCCGCGGAGTTCCTCCCCAGCACGATCAGATGCCCGGGGGGGGGAGGGGAGCCACAGACCGCAGAGTGAGGCGAGCCCGCTGCGCATGCATGTGCAGTTCGGCAGGACCTTGCATGCTGCGGGAGAGATGGGCGCGCTGGCGATCACACGTCCGCCCCTGCAGCGGATTTTTCGGTAAGTACTAGTGTTTCGTAGGGTTGTTTTTGATCCGCATCTTCAGCCGGAAGAGACGGATCGGAGACGGGTGCGCACCGCTTCTCAGATGTTGCAGTGTGATCGCACCGCTTGATGTGCCCCCGATCCGTCCCTCTTGTGGATCAAAGCCTCCCGTGTGACCAGGGCCATGGAGCACCAAAAAGGCAAATAAATGGGTTCTGGATCAGGTTAAACCTGAACTTTCCCTAGAAGCTAAAATGACTAAACTATCATACTTTAGTCACATTATGAGAAGACAAGACTCACTGGAAAAGACAAGAATGCTGGGACAAATTGAAGGCAGTGAGAAAAGAGGAGGAGCCAACATGAGATAAAGGTAAAGGTTCCCTTGCTCGAAAGCCAGTCGAGTCCAACTCTAGGTTTGCGGTGCTCATCTCCGTTTCAAAGCCGAAGAGCCAGCGCTGTCTGAAGACGTTTCCGTGGTCATGTGGCCGGCATGAGTAAACACCAAGGCGCACGGAACGCTGTTACCTTCCCACTGAAGTGGTACCTATTTATCTACTTGCAATTTCTTGCTTTCAAACTGCTAGGTTGGCAGGAGCTGGAACTAGAGACGGGAGCTCACTCTGTCATGCGGCACACTTGGGGCTTGAACTGCTGAACTACCGACCTTCCACAGCCTGCAGTTCAGCGTCTTAACCACTTGAGCCACCGCAGCTCCTCAACATGAGATGGACTGACTCAATAAGGAAGCCATGTGGCTCTCAGTTTGCAAGACCTGAGCAAGGCTGTTGACGATAGGGTATTTTGGAAGTCATCAGTTCATAGGATCACCACTAGCTGGAAGTGACATGACGGCACTTAGAACACACACACACACTCACACAGGAGGACGGAACACAGGAGGATTCTCACAGCAGCAGCGGCCTAATTCTGCAGTGTGGATCACATTGCAGTTCTGACCCCACTGAGGCCTGCGAGGTTTTTAGATTCCTTGATCTCTCCAGCAATGCTGTTTCCCTCTGAACAGAAAGTGGCCTTCTTTGAATCAATGTCAGATTGTTCCCTGATCCTAACGGTACCCACAGAATCACCATCTCTAATGATAAGTGAGACTCTTAGCAAAGGCACAATCCCTCCTTCTTTGATCAAGCTTACAAGGCCAGTGTTTGCCTTCCTGACTGCACAATATATCAAATTGAGTTCCCCTCGTTTTCTAACGCCATCAGCATCACACATACACACGGACATGGGCCCTTATCTAGCAAGCACTGAGAAACAGAAGGCTGAAAACAGAGCCTGGAGCCACTAGAAGCCTGACACAGCGTAGACAACAGCCACTCTGTTCCCACGGTGGGCGTCAACATTCCAGAAACAGCAGCAGCAGTGATCAGAGCTCTTCCCCTGCCCACAAATTAAACTTTACCCTCTTTTTATGGCACTTGCCTCTTGCCTGGGAGGACACACGAGTTGCTGAGATAATGCAACACAGTGGTACAGTTACCAACGCCATTGAAAGGGGACACAATGCAATGCCACAAGTAAACAGACTCTGCTGCTTTGCCTGAAGCTACTTCACACCTCGCCATGCTATGACCCAAG